GAGGACGCAGAGCTGGAAGGAGCAGGGTGTTAGCCCGAGGACGCACAGCTGGAAGGCGCAGGGTGTTAACCCGAGGACGCAGAGCTGGAAGAGGTGGAAAACTTCTCTTGTCCGGCTGAATGAGAAGCAGCTGGCAGACAGTGTTAGAGTGGCTGTGATCCATGAAAACGCCAGGAAGTTGCAGGGATTTCCTACAGCACAACTGTACACATGCTATGAGAGATGAATTCAGTCCAATAGAGAGTGACTTGATCAATCTCTCAAGAGAAGTGGTATCCACATTGTAGTACGACATGGTGAGGTTTCTAGTTCTGACAAGGCCGCTGCAGACGCCTACAAGAAGCAGAATTCAGGAAGGCAGAAGCATAGGTTGCCCAACAAGTGTACATGTGCTGAAACCGGGCTCTTCTGGGAGAAGATGCTGAGCAGAACGTGTATCACGCAGGAGCAGAAGCCCTGCTGGGGCACAGGCTCACAGAAGATGGTTGACCCTTTTGCTTTGTGCAAATGCAGGTGGCAGTCTGAATATTAAGCTACTGCTAGTGTACCATTCCCAGACTCCTCATGCACTTGAGGACAGGGTGTGAACAAGGCCAGCCTGCCTGTTACAAGGAGGGCTGATGGGAAACCTTGGGTCACAAGGCAGCGGTTTATGGATGGCTGCATGAGGTGTTCAGACCCGCTGTTAAGAAATAGCTTCCTGATAGCCAGCAGCCGTCTGCAAGGTGCCTTCCTCAGATGGACAGTACCTCGCACACCCTCCAGCCCTGGTGGATGATAAGGGTGCTCTGGGTGACTTTGTAAAGGTTCACCCCACTACCCCCACAACACCTCTTCTGCAGCCTGTGGACCAGCAAATTATCTGCAACTTCCAGAAGCTATACACAAAGGTGCTCTTCACCAGCTATTTTAATGTAACTAAAGAGCTGGCCTTGACTCTGAGCCAGGTTCTGGAAGAAATATTGCAACCTTCTCCACTGTATACACCTCATTGACAAAGCTTAGGAAGATGTCATGCACTGGATCTGAACGTGACCTGGAGGAAGCTGTGGTGAGAATGTGTCACTGAGCGTGACTTCACTGGAGCTGATGCTCATGGAGTAGAGGAGACTGGTGGGCAGAAGAATGGGTGTGGACGAGGACGGTGTAGATATGGAGGAGCTTGGTGAACAGAACAACTTGCTGAACTCCAGAGTGAGTGGCATGGGGTGCTTGAGGAGCACTCCACAGGAAAAAGGGAGACCAGTTGTGGGGTAAGTTAGCAATGTGCTAAAAAGTCCATTAAGGAAGAAGAGTGGAGTGAGTGCCAGGATTTCTGGGAGAAGCACCACCCCAACATAGCTGTAACAAAGTGGTGAGTCTAATGAAGGGTAATGTGGTCTCTCATTTCCATAGGGTTATGCAGCGCAGCAGAAAGCAAGTAATGTTAACAGGTTTTTTTTTTTTTTTTTTGGTTAAAATTGACCCTGCAGATAAGGTATCAAGAAGAGGGGAAACCCCTGAAAGCGATCGGCCCAATGTGCTTACTGAGGGGGATGGGACTCTCCCTCCAAACAATGAGTCTTCCCCACACACCTTTCTGTCCTCCATGCCAGAAATTGCCTCAAGAAAGTTTGAGTCCTCTTTCTTCATACTGTACTGTATTGTACTTGATTTGATATTTTTGTAGTTAAAAAAACACATATGGTTCAGAATGGACTCGTGTTGTTCACATTGAATCTGATGGGAAAGTTTGATTCAGTGTGCTACCAAGTTCGTAGGAGTCAGAACAGATTAACTTATTTGTATCGAACCTTATCAGGAAACTTGATTCAGTTCATGACCAGATTTGTGGCACACATTAAATTTTGTGAATTGAGGCACCATTGTATTGCTTCCTTTATCACGGAAACAGTTTTTATTCAATGCGAACTATTTTCTTAGTTAATAAAGAATGGCGATATTGCATGAATGCAAGAAAAAGTTTCAAGAGTCCTAGGAAAAAAAAGACATTACAAAAGTGGGTTTCCTTAATTTCAAATCATTCCAGCAGCAGAGTGTTATGGTTTTTATGTCTAGATGTCCCCCCAAAGCCTCATGTAGTCATGGGGTGGACTTCTAGAGGTTGTGATTTATTCTTGATCCAGTACTGGGACTATGGGTGTAAGTGCTGGTGGGATAATGGGGGTGAGTGCTACACCTGCCCTTGGGCAAATAGTCTGGATGCAGTACAAGGAAGGGGGAGAGGCTTGCACTTTGCCTCTGCTGCTGCTGCAGTTGCCTCTGCTCCTGCTGTTTTGCTCTCTGCTGCCATGAACTGCTGCCCTCTGCCATGTACCACTCAGCCTTGGAGCCAGCTGATTATAGATTGAAACCTCCACTAATTGTGAGCTGAATAAACTTTTCTTTCCTTAAATTTTGGTGTTGGGTATTTTGTCCCAGCAGCAAGAGAAGAGCAACTGAGACAGAGTCTCGTTTCTTATCTTATTCTTACTGAAATGCTGGTTTTCTTTCTCTGGTGTTGCTGTCTCTCACAGTCCCTCTTGTGTCTTGTATTTCCTTCAGGTAACAGCACAAAACCCAGCACCACCAAGCCCAGTGCTGTTTACCAGGCCTGGCCTGAGGAATCCTGGCTCCATGACCAGGAGACAGAAGGAACCTGTGGGGGCTCCCTGTTGTCACTGCACCAGAGTCAGGATGGGCCCCGTGAAGTACAGGAAGGACTTCTGAGACCTGGGCTGATGTCCCCAAGGGAGAAGCTTCCTGGGACTAGGAGCCCTGGAGGTGATGGCATGGGGTTGGCTGACAGTGTGTGTTCAGAGACGGTGCATGGGAACGTCTCTCCACACCCAGCTCCCTCTGTCAGTGACTCCCATGGGTCAGCTGCAGATCACTTGGTCCATGAAGGAAAAAATCTCTTCAAATGCAAGGAATGTGGGAAAGTGTTTAAGAAGGAACACTTACTCATTCAACATAAGTTAATTCACACGGGAGTGAAACGCTATGAATGTACAGAGTGTGGGAAGTCCTTCCGCAAGAGCACTCACCTCCTCCAGCACCATATTGTCCACACCAGGGAGAGGCCATATCTGTGCTTAGAGTGTGGCAAGGCATTCAGCCGCAAATCGTACCTTGCCCAGCACCAGCGTACGCACAGTGGAGAGAAGCCTTACAAGTGCACTGAGTGTGGACAAGCTTTTGCCCACCGCTCCACATTTGTTTTGCATAACAGAGTGCACACTGGAGAGAAACCTTTTGTGTGCAAAGAGTGTGGCAAAGCCTTTCGAGATAGACGAGCTTTCAATCGTCACAACATCTTTCACACCGGAGAAAAGCCCTTTCAGTGTTCAGAGTGTGGCAAGGCCTTCAATCAACGGTCTTACCTCACGTGGCACCAACAGACTCACAAGGGAGTGAAACCCTTCCAATGCAGTGAATGTGGGAGAGGATTTTGTGAGATTGCAGGACTCATTCACCATTATGTCATCCATACAGGGGAGAAGCCTTATAAGTGTGTAGAGTGTGGGAAGGCCTTTCTACGTGAACCACATCTTAAGCAACACCAGCGCATCCACACTGGGGAAAAACCTTATGTGTGCACTGAGTGTGGAAAGGCCTTTGCCCACTATTCCACTTTGACCTTACACAGAAGAGCCCACACTGGAGAAAAACCCTTTGAATGCAAAGAATGTGGGAAAGCGTTCACCAATCGGAAAGACCTCATCCGCCATGTTAGCATCCACACAGGAGAGAAGCCATATGAGTGCATGGAGTGTGGGAAGGCCTTCAACCGCAGGTCACATCTGATAAGGCACCATCGGATTCACAATGAGGAGAAGCCCTACAAATGCATGCAGTGTGGGAAAACCTTTTCCCGGAGCACAAACCTCATTCAACACTCCAACATCCACACTGGTGATAAGCCCTATAAATGCAGTGAGTGTGGAAAAGCCTTCAGCCTCAGCTCCTCCCTCAGGTACCATCAAAGGATGCACACAGGAAACTCTGCCAGGGTCAGAGATGCAGAAAAGCCCTTCACCAGTGTGCAAGCCTCTGTCAACATTGAAGGACTCATATTAGGGAAAGACTTCCTTCATGCACCCACTGAGAAACATCAGTGTTCAAGGGAATTGTCTGTCAGAGCCTCTGGTCATTCATACCACAGAGAAACTGTTAGTGCCATCTCTATAAAAAGAATGTAAATAGTAATCATTTGTCGTCTGGAGTCATGTTTGAAAATAGCCCAGTCTGTAGTCTTCTACATCTGAGTATTTGTCCATGAGAGTTTAGTGGCTGCTCTTAGGAACTCATTTTGTACCCCAAGCTGGCCTCAGACTCAGCCACACATTGCTAGTACATGCTGAAATGTTATCCAAAGGACTTTTTTGTTTCTTTATTTTCTGTGGTCCTAGGGGATGGAACCCAGAGTCTGTGCACTAAACTACATTCCACCCCATCTGCCCCCACCCCAGTTTTTTGAGAAAGGATCCTGCTGGGTCAATAAGATATCCATGCTAGGCCCAAGCTATGATCCTCCCAGGCTCAGCGTCCCAGCATACTGGGATTATAGGTGTGTGTGAATTACTTGGTTTTGTAGAATGTTGTATTGGCAGAGGCCCAAACCTCTG